CTAAACGTAGTGTTCTTGAGAATTAGCGCGACGTCGTTTGCATTACGGGGCGTGTTCCTATTCCTGTGTCTTAATCTACTTCTAGGATTACAAAATTAGGAGGTAGTCCATAATGGGAGATGACTGCGGCAAGAGAACAATTGTCAATTAGATGTGATCATTATCACATCAAACACTGCTATTGAAAACAGGTTTGAAAGTATGTCTACTGAACTGTCCACATTGTGTGCCATATAAGTAGGTCAGGCTTTTAAACTGAAACAAGGCCAAGAAACATCGGCAAAACAAGAATTTTCTGTCCAACTGCCCAGCATGTTGAAATTGCCAAATTGAGGATTCGTCAAGAGGGAGTCGGACGCTGGCCGATCTTTAATCTTGCTACACTGCTAGTTGACCCGCTCGAGCGAACATATGACAGCCGTCTTCGGTTATATTCTAGTTTTTGTAAATGTTTGTTTGAGTGAGCTGGCAGTTATAGTTAAGCTTCGAATACCTGACCTATTCTGATTGCTGCCTTCCCGTAGCGGTCCCGCGCACATCCCCCAGTGTGAAACGTTATCATGCCTTGAAGTAACCTATAGCATCTTTATGCAACGTAACAGACCGACGACAAACAGTCGAAAAAACCCGCCCGTCCAAAATGCACTCTTCATCTCACTAAAATCGGAGATTTTTTTACTCCCCTTAAAGAGCCGTTCAGTCATTAGAATTGCACAATTGCCCAATAGCCTCCGATTAGACAACAGGTCGCATACTGGTGCAGGCTCCATTGGGCACTATTCCACCACATTTAATACAAACATCGCAGACTAAAGAGAAGATAAACTCACTGGAACATGACTTTTATTAGCCTGATGTTTTCGATTCTTGCGCGGACCCACCATCAGAAGCAGTCGCCGATAAGAGCTCATGCCAGAATCCGCAAGGTCGGGCAAAGAAAATTCATGGTTCAGCGATCAAATCTTCTGCTTTTGAGACGTCACCTCCTTGCCCCTGTCGGTAGTAAAACGCATGCTCACTATCCCCAACCGTACTCGAATAAGCGGCTTGTGTATTTGAGTTATTCAGAGCAAAAGTATGTTGTTGACTCGCAGCATTTTATAGGAATTACATGTACGAATAAAAATATATGTGGAGTCATTTGCACTGACTGAGAAGCTTCCCGATCTGGTGGAAAGATTGTCCTTTCATGTTTAGACATAATACAGTCATCCCTGGCTATTTCGCGTTTCGACGTTAGGAACCTCAATCCATCGCGGATTTTATATATAAGCACATATAGCTATTGACAAAGTGAAATCGATAAAGACAACAGAGAACGGAACGACAACTTCTGGTTTATTATCCATCACCAGCAAGTCGTAATTAATCCGTGATGTTGCAACATCCTAGGGCTCATACACGCAACCTTGTTGATTAGAACAACTGCGCCATGGGCGCGTTGCCTTGGCGGTTTCGATCCGGAATATTAACATTGGTAGATGAGCGCTTACCGACCGGTTACGAAACTCACTCGTGTCTGTTGTGCCTTGGGGCCCGCTCTCGAGTCCCGTCAGCAGCCACGCAACGCCCGGCATATTATAGGTCGTTAATGGGCCACTGAAAAGACTGTAACCCATTGGTGAGCGTATTTGCTTTTCTTCCGAATAAAGAGTATTGGCAGTATAATGCGATTTATGTGTTTTACGGAAAAAATTCAGATGTAGACCCTCGTGAAAACTACAATTTCCCAAAATTATATCGTTTTTGCGAATAAATATCCTTTTTATATTTGACAGAAAGTAATCTCAATTTCTAACAATCCTTCAGAGGCGGCAGCATTCTGCAACCACTTTAACCATCTAGTTAAGTTTAAGAATGCTACTACGAGTAGAGATCACCTTCGAAACCAACAAGTGGCGCCAGTAGTTTCGACAGAATGCTGCTACACCTATTTCAAGAGTTTCAAAGAAAGAAATCGAGTTCGGAGATATTTTGAAATTAAAAAAAAGTTTCCGGGACTCAGTTTAACAAAACAACAATTTCCAGCACGTGCGAAAATGTCGACTCAAATTTTGTCAAGCCAAACAGTTATCGCGGCGTAGTCATGAGATGGAGCCATTAATTATCACGAATACACAAGGGAGAGAATGCCGAAAGAGTCGGCTAATTATCTGTTCCCTGCCCTAAACACGAAAGGAGGGGAAACAATGTCAGTTAACTGGTGCAAGTTCGTGGCTCTTATTCGGTACATTCCGATTTTTTCATCAAACATCATTTCTACCGAAAACCACACTTTCTAGTTTCTGCTCTAAATTATGTCAGAGATCTTTGGTTTGATGAAGTTGAAGATAATCGTGCAATAATCGAGTAAACTAGTTGCATGTTCTTTTTGGTAGCAAAAGTAGTGAAGCGCTATTAAGGTTCTTACACACGTGCAGGTGCTCTTTAATACAGTCAATATGCCTGGAAAAAAATAATAGCCTTGTTTGCAACAAGTTTTTCTAGAAAATTAACATCGACATTTTTTAATTTCAAAAATGTGAAATTTGGATTAGAAGAACAATGGCACCTTGAGAATTTTTAAAGTGCATGTTTCGAGAGAACTTGCAGAGTACTGTTAGCTATATTTTTGAGCTTTTTGTGGGTATGTGCAAGTTCCCTTCGAGATGTGTACAGATTACCTGCGATTCAGTCAGAGAATAATAATAATAATATAAATATTCTCAAATTCAAGGGCATCTTAAAATATCAGGTATTTTGCAAAAATTGGACTGTCAGTGTACATTTCTGAAACCAACGTAGCTTGTGTTTTCACAGATGAGAACCGAATAAGACGTTATTTTGAACGAATTCGTAATCAGGCTCTTAGTATTAGGTAGTTATTGTGCAGACGGTTTCACCTTTTTCAATCCTCGAAAACCGATGACAACTGAGGTACCACGTGGACTGCAAGATCTCAGGAAGGTCGCAGATGAGAATCCATCTTGCCACAGTTTAGGTGCTGACTAGAAAGTTAATTCGCTAGAGGCCACAACTGCAGTTTCAAGAAGGTAAAGTTTCTTATTTAAAGAGATGAGATGGTGATTGTCAGGAGATTTTACAATTGAACACGATTATACATTACATGAACTGGCTCCAAAAACGGGATGACTGAAATTGAAAAGAGCAATTTTTGGCAACTAAAATGCTGCACGTTTGATTTATCCGCGTAATATATTCTGGAAATTGCTCTTTTTGTATGCGAAATCTGTGTATAAATGTTTTTGTTAGTCAAAAATTCTTCAATCTTGGGCGGAAATTTACAGTATAGTAGATGCCCTATGACATAAAATGTCGACCGAAATTCGGAAATGTGTGTTCGATTCGAATAACTTATATGCTAATAGTTAAGCATAGTCTCAAGATATTTCAGTCACGCAAGGATGCCTGCTTCGTTGGGAGCTTCCTTTCGACTGCCTACAGAAGACATGCTCTGTAAAAAATGGCTACTTAATTAGTGGGCATTTTTCGCATCGATTTGCAATATCCTTATAACTTCAAATATATTTTATGGTGACCATTTACAGAAATACTCGTTCTTGCACTTGTTGGGTAGAAGAATAATAGTTTTCCAAGTTTTCTATGTGAGCAATGAGTATATTTCCGGTTTCAAAAACGTTCTTAATTGCCAAATAAATTTGAAACCTGCCGACCGTTCCACTTCAATTCAAGGTTTCAAAACTACATGGTGTAAACATTCTGTTTAAAGAAAATCGCATACTTCTCTGGGCTAAAAGGAAGAGGTCACATAGTTCTCATAAAATTTCGTAATGCATATGGAACGTGTTGTATACTTTACAGGCGGCATTTATAGATTGACGGATAGGATATATTATGAATGAAAGTTTCACGGTTTAAAGAAATTGCATGATTAGAAAAATTTCTAAATCCAAAAGATACATTTTTTTTCGAGTATAACATTTTAAGAAGGCATAATTTGCTAAGGAATGAGTATAAGAGAGAATACTTAGGGCTTAAATTTTCTATAAAATATATTGGAATTGATAAGACCATCGAAAATCAATTGGGAAAAAATTTCATTTTTACAGTGCGGCCGAAGGGGATCTCGTTCAATAGCCAGCATATGAATGTGACAGAAACAGTTTGCGGTTAGGCTACACGATAATTAATATTACAACCCTACTCAACTAATCCGTTCGAATCGAAGGAAAATTTCAGAATTTCGGTTGATATTCCATAATATAGGGAATCCACGGTATCTCCTTACTCCGGTGATTTCCTTCGCTAGTAAGTACGTTGTCAATGTTGCAATCTTAACTCTTGAGCTTCAATAAACCGAACACAAGTCGTGCTTGAAAAATGCTTGTTTTATTTCTCGCCGTACATTAGATCAAGCAAGATTTAAGCAAGCAGGTTACTGCCGAATGCCCGTTCTGCAGGTAACCCTACATTAAATTCCAGGCAATATATTCTCCCCTGGCCTAGAGTTAACCTTAAATCTAAGCCCAGTGCTAAAGTACCTTACTCAAACCCTCCTATCTCGTACCCTAACACTGACTATAAAGTTAATCCATCCCTCTCTCTCTCTCTCTGAAATTTATTTCTAGGTTACCTGTTATACGGGGCGCACTTATGACTGCGCGTTATCGCTTTGCCACCAAAAGTGACTACGAATATGAAGTTGGAAGCAAGGTTGGTGACTGTATCAAGGACTATAATTGAAAAAATATAAAAACAAGGATATATACAGTAAAAAAAGTTATAGAATAAACCTGTGAAAAGACGATGGAAATTGGCGCCATCTTCCAAAGGGTGGTCGTTTTCTCT